AGGACATGCCAGGTGGAGGGAATAGCATGTGCAAAGGCTCTGAAGGGAGAATGAACTTGGCCTGTGACCAGATTGGCTGGAGTTGATTGAGCAAGGGAGAGAGCAGTGGGAGAGGGTTGGAAGGGTCCCACAGGGGCCAGGCACACAGGGCATTATAGTCCGTGGGAAGGAACCTGAATTGTGTTCAGGGTAATGGGGAGCCATGGGAGGATTCCGAACAATGGAAGGTTATAATCTGATTTAATTTTAGGAAGATGCCTTTGGCTGCTGGGTGGAAGGTAGACTGCTAGGTGGGTGGGGGGCAGAAGGAAACCAGGGAGACCAATGCTAGGAGGCTACTGCATCACTGGCCTGACACAGATTGGGGTGATGGGATGGAGAAAAGTGAATGGATGTGAAAGATATTTAGGACAGACTACTGGCAGGACCTGACAACAGATTAGGTGTAGGGAGAGGGGGAGGAAGGAGGTGAGGTGAATATGAGGGTCTGGGATATGCCCCTGGTGGACACCCCAGAGGTGGCGGGACCTATCAGGAGCATTGTTGAGACACAGGAGGCAAAGGTCACAAAAGCCATTGGAGGGGGTGAGATCCCAGGGTGTATACACAGAGGGAGAGGAAGGGATGACTTGGACCAGCTCTAAGGAACTTCAACATTTACACATTGGGTGAAGGAGTCCAAAACACCCTATGAAGGGGAGTCTTTATGGCTGGAGGAGGGCAGGGGTCAGCTCCTGAAGGGCTCTGGATGCCAGACTGAGGACAGTGGGGAGCCATGGAGGGTATTAGAGCAGGGGAGTGACAGACCTTCAGAAAGGTGACTGTGGTGGCTGGGGTGGCAGCCAGACTACAGTCAGATGGCCCAGGGATTAGAGATGACCCAGAAGTCTTGAGCCTGCCCAAACGGTGATACCCCCCCTCAACCCCGGGCCACACACAGGAAAAGGCCACACTGGGGTGGATCCCCAAATCATCTTTTACAGTCACTTCCAGTTGCAGATAGGGAAACTGAGGCCTGGGCCACACAGCCAATCTGTGGAGTCAGGATTAGATAGAACCCAGTTACATGTGTGTGTACACATGTGCGCTTAATAAGAAACTCAGGCGTCCACACAGCTAGCCCTCCCCTAGAGAAACCCTCCCAGACCACCTATTCTAAAAGGATTGGTCTGTATCCTCTTACGCTGTGTATGAATTTCCTGTGGCCACTGTAACAATTTACCGTGAACTGGGTGGCTTAAATCAGCACACGTTTATGATCTCATAGTTCTGGAGGCCAGAAGTCTGAAATCCAGGTGTCAGCAGGGCTCTGCTACCTCTGAAGGCTCTAGGGCAGAGTCTGTTTCCTGCCTCTTGCAGCTTCTGGTAGCTCCAGCGTTCCGTGGCTGGTGGCCGCATCCCTCGTGTCTCCTCTGTCTTTACACAGCCTCTTCAGTGTGGCGAATTTCCCTGTGCCCTTCTGTTTCGCACGTGCGCGTGCGAGGGGAGAGGCAGAGGGAGAGAATCCCAAGCAGACTCCCTGCTGAGTGTGGAGCCCTATGCGGGACTCAGTGTCATGATGACCTGAGCCAAAATCAAGAGTCGGGGATGCTTAACCTAACTGAGCCACCCAGGAGCCCCATCCCTCTGAGTCTCTCTTATAAGGACATTTGTCATTCCAGTTGGGACCAACCTAGACTATCCAGGATATTCTTCTCATCTCTTTGCCCTTAACCATTTGCAAAGACTTTGCCATAGAAGGTCACGTTCTCAGGTTCCAGAGACCTGATACCTTTGGGCTGGAGCCTATTCAGCCACCGTCGTCCCTGTTTTACCTCCTTCAAGACACCTAGTGTTTACACGGCATTCTATCCAATGTCTATTGGTGGCCACCCCTCCTAAGGGTAGACCGTGTTTGTTCTGCTCATTCCCACTACATCCCCACTACATCCCCATGCCCAGAACAGAGTCACACACATAGGAGGGGTTCGAAAACGATTTGCCAACTGAATGATGAAGAAATGCAGGTGGAACACTTGGTGAGAGGCCTGGCACGTGAGAGCATTTAGAGGAAGGTCACGATTCTTTGTCGTAGTCACTAGCCGCCTTCCCTGGCATTGCTGGGGGGAGTATCACTGTCCTCTGTCAAATTGGTAAAGAAGTGAATATCCACAGCCACGCCCTGGTGAGTGTCACCTGAGCTGCCCATGACCTTTGGCCTGGGACTTGCTACTTGGAGCTCTCTGTGCTTCATTTTGGGGAGGTTATTTGCTCTCTCCGCCACCTCCACCCCTTCCAGAGGGCATATCGCCTACACTAGTCCACCTTTTTTAAAAAGATTTTTTTGGGACCACCTCGGTGGCTCAGTTGGTTAAGTGCCCAACTCTTGGTTTCAGTTCAGGTCATGATCTCAGGGTTGTGGGATTGGGTCCCACATCAGGTTCCACGCTCAGGGTAAAGTCTGCTTGGGAGTCTCTCTCCCCTCTCCCTGTGCCCTCCCCCTCCAATAAAAAGATAAATCTTTAAAAAAAAAACCCTGATTTTTAATTGTGGTAAAATAACATAACATTTATCATTATAACCATTTTAAGTGTACAGTTCAGTGGTATTAAGTACATTCACACCGTTGTGCAGCCATCACCACCTTTCATCTCCAGAACCTTTTCATCTTCTTCAATTAAAACCCTGTCCCTATTTATTAAACACTAAGTCCCCCATGAAATTCCCCCCCCCCAGCCCCTGGCACCCACCACATACTTCCTGTTTCTGTGATTCTGACTCCTCTAGGGACCTCTTATAAGTGGGATCACATAGAATTTATTTTATCTCTTATGAGTGTCTCTTATTTCACTTAACATAACGTTCTCAAGGGGCACCTGGGAAGCTCAGTGATTTAATGTCTGCCTTTGGCTCAGGTTGTGATCCCGGGGTCCTGGGACTGAGTCTCACATCAGGCTCCCTGCAGGGAGCCTGCTTCTCCCTCTGCCTGTGTCTCTGCCCCTTTCTCTGTGTCTCTCATGAATGAATAAATAAAATCTTAAAATTTTTCTTTAAAGACCCTATAATGTTCTCAAAGTTCATCCGTGTTGTACCAGGCATCAGAATTTCCTTTCTATGGCTGAATAGTATTCCCTTGTATGGATGGACTGCGTTATGTCTCTCTTTTCATCTGCCGAAGGGCACTTGGCTTGTTTCCACCTTTTGGTTATTGTGACTAAAGCTGCTATGAACATGGTTGTGAAAATATCTGAGTCCCTGCTTTCAATTCTTTTGGGGATCTACCAAGAAATGGGATTGCTGGATCATATGATGATTCTATGTTTAATATTTTAAGGAACAATCATACTTTTCCACAGCAAAGTGGCACCATTTTATATTTCCAAGGGTTCAAGCTTTCTTTGCATGCTTGCCAACTCTTGTTGTCTCCTTTCTTGACAGTAGCCATCCTAATGAGTGGTCATGTGATCTGCATGACTTATAATGTAAGTCAGATTGTCCCAATGGGGCTCTCCAAATTTGGTGATGACCACCTAGCTGTTTTCCTAGGATGCAGTAACCCATAGAAACTTCACATCTTCTATATAGGGGATATAGTTGGGCATTGGCTGATGGAAGAGCCAGTGGGTCTGAACCCCTAGGAGTGGGAACCATGGGCAGGAGTGGGTGGGGACTGGGGACTCAGGTGAGGACCTGGAGTGCAGGGTTCTACTAGCTGTGTTATCCCAGGAGGTGGGCACAGAGGAAACCCTTGGCTGTTTGGACTGAGTGGAAAGGAGAGATGAGGGCAGGATCCATCCATTTTCAGGAGTCTCCTTGGCATCGTTTGAGGTTTGTGAGCCCTCAAAGTGATTGAGTTTGGCCTTTGGTGGGAGCTCAGGGGACCTCTACCACCTCCCGTCTCCCTTGAGTTAGAGGAACTGAGAGATTCAGCTGTCTAGAATATGGAGAGAATGTAAGACCCAAGTCCAAAGACCACTTTAAGATTCCATAAAATGAGGCATGCAGATCCCTGAGTGTGGCGCACAGCGTATTGTAATGCTCCATACCTGGTCACTGCGTTATTAATATCATTGTTACCTACCCACTTTGTTTGGGTTCCTTCAAAAGCTGACCCTTGGACAAGGATTTGAGTGCTAGGAGCTTATTTGGGAAGTGATCACAGAACATAACAGTAAGGGAAAAGGAAGTGAACCCCAAAGAATCGAAAACAGGGACTCTAACAAGTACTTGTACATGCATGTTCATAGTTGCACATTTCACAATAGGCAGAGGTGGGAACAGCTCAGATTTTCATCAACAGATGAATGGATAAACAAATTGTGATATATCCTTACAATGGGAATATTACCCAGGAATGCAAGAAATGAAGATATGATACACACGACGACATGGATGAACCTTGAACATATCACACTGGGTGAAAGAAGCCTGACACAAAAGGTCACAGAGTATATGAGCCCATTTATATGAAATAAATTATCTATAGAGTCAGAAAACAGATTGGGGGTGACTGGGTGGCTCAGTTGGTTAAGTGTCCGACTCTTGGTCTCAGCTCAGATCTTGATCTCAGCGTTGTAAGTTCAAGCCCCATAACGGGCTCTGCACTGGGCATGGAGCCTACTTGAAAGAAAGGAAGGAAGGAAGGAAGGAAGGAAGGAAGGAAGGAAGGAAGGAAGGAAGAAGAAAGGAAAGAAAGAAGAAAGAAAGAAAGAAAGAAAGAAAGAAAGAAAGAAAGAAAGAAAAAAAGAAAGCAAGCAGAATCGTGGTTGCCAGGGGTTGAATGTACAGGCAAATGAGGAATTACTGCTAATTGGGGTGGGATTTCCTTTCGGGGCAATGAAAAAAATTTGGAGCTAGATAGAGGTGGCGGTTGCATGACACCGTGGATATGCTAGATGCCACTGAATTGTACACAGTTGACCTGTGAATAACACAGGTTTATACTGCACGGGTCCACTTACATGCAGAATTTTTACAGTGCAGCACCATAAATGGATTTTCTTTTTCTTATGAGTTTTTTTTTATATTTGAAACTTTAAGGTCAGTTTATTAAGTTCAATGATGAAAGCTATCAGAAGAATATTCTCCTGAAAATTATTTTTTCTTAGAAAAAAAGAAAGGAAAATCAACACCTCCACACAGCCACAGATGCTGTGGCAGTCACACCTCTCTGTAGACGGGGATAGTCCATTAGTCAGTCAGATCACTCTCTGGGTCAGCAGGATTATAGTCTGGATCATCCTCATCATCCTCTAGCTCCAAGTCATCCATTTCCTGGAACAGGGATTCATCTACCTCCACATTGTTTCCAGCATCTTCCAAAAACTGGATATCAGATGTGTCAAGATTGTGATCTGTTTCAAATAGCTGTTTCCCATTTAATTTATTTTTTCCTGCTTGTTCTTCTTCTTTCATTCCTTTCTTTTTAATTTCCAAGAGTTCTGCATCAAACTTGGCCTTCCAACTTAAGAAATTCTCAATTGTGACAGGAGTGCCATGAAATAATTGCTTTTCAGCTTCTTCTGCCTCTTTCTCTTTTTGTTTCTTTTCTTCTCTTCTAGTTTTTATTTGATCTACTATTTCATTTAATTTTTCTTGCACAGCTGTCACTAAAGTAAAGATCATTACCATACCAAGGTTTTCTTCTGCCTGTAACGCTAATAGTTTTAAAATATCTGAGACATCATTATCTTCTAGATTTTCCTGGGAGAATATTTCATAAAGAGGGGCTTCATCTGGGTATTTTTCACTGTATGTGAACTTGAGGGTAGTCTGGACAGTTTCATCATTTTCTCCAGCCTCAGATGTCACAGTAATGGTGAAACTGGGTGGATTTTCTGATAATACTGTGAAGGAGTCGGGGTAGATGGACTCCAGAGCCTCCAGCTTGTTGCGCTGCTCCTCGCCGTAATCTGTCATCGTGGCCCTCGCTGCTGCCCATGGGCTGCCCAGCCACCCAGGCGGCGCGCTGCAGCTGGGACCGCCGCCGCGCCGGGAGAGCGGGCAGCGGCCCTTCTTATGAATTTTTTTCAATTTTTTTTCTTCAGCTGACTTTGCTGTAAGAATATGATATATAATACATATAACCTACAAAATATGTGTTAATTGGCTGTTTATGTTATCAGTAAGGCTTCCAGGCAACAGTAGGCTAGTAGGAGTTAAATTTTGGGGGAATCAAAAGTTATACATGGAATTTTGACTGTGCCGCAGGGGGTTGGCACCTCTAACCCCTGCATGTTCACGGGTCAATTGTACTTTCAAATGCTTCGTTTTATGTTGGGTGAATCTCACCTCAATTAAATAAAGAGGATAAAGAGAGGAGGCGGGAAGGAAGGCAGCTAATAGAGAAAGTTTCTATGGCGGGCAGCTGGAGTTTAATCCCGCTGGGGAACCCTGGTGGTGGGTGTGGCACCCACATCTCAGGGTCATTGCACCACAGGGGAGAAGGCGTCTATCTAGCATTATTTATCAGTCATTGGTTGAGAGCTGCTTTCAACGTGTGTGAATGTTTAAATTTTCCAACACTCCGGCCAGCAACGCATGGGCAGAGAAGCCAGGAGGGATGCCCTGCAAAGTCAAGACTGATGGCACGTGGAACAGTGCATCCATCTGGCCAGCTAGCCGAAGGTCACTGCTGGGGGAGGGTTGAGGGGTCTCCTTGGTGTCTGGTACTCCTGTGTATTGAGCACCTACTGTGTGCCAGGTACACTCTGCTTGACTCCACAGGTCCTCTCGTGTATGGTGCACACATGGCCAGAGAGTGGTTCCTTCTCGCACTGACCCCCATCCTGTGTGTCCCCCCAGGATGCTGCCCATCACAGAAGACCTGCTGTACCTCCTGGGAATGGAGAAGACCGCGTTCCGCTTGTATGCCGTGTCTACACTCCTCCTCTCCCTGCTCTTCTTCCTCTTCCGCCTGCTGATGCAGTTCCTGAGGTTCTGCTGGCGCTTCTACATCACCTGCCGCCGCCTGAGCTGCTTCCCCCAGCCGCCCCGGCGCAACTGGCTGCTGGGCCATCTAGGCATGGTGTGTGTGTGGCTGGGCAGGTGGGCTGGGCAGGTCCCGGGGACTCAGCAAGGATGACAAGGATGAAGGCTTCCTCCATCCCCCAGGAATCTGGGTTGGAGCCATGAAACAGACCCATTTTACAGGATTGGAGTGTGATTGAAGCTCAGAGAGGGCAAGCAGTTTACCTGAGGCCACACAGCTGGGAGGAGGCAGAGCTGACTCTAAGGTTTTCTCTATAATTTCAGGCAATTATTGTAGCAACAGGTGAAAAGTTGCCTGGGAAAGTCATCAGGTTCTGTGACCCAGGGCGGGGTGGGGGGACTCCTGTAGATATTGTTGCTCCACCCCAGCCCCAGTGTGTTTGCAACCTCCCATTCTCTTGTCTTTTATTTCTTACTTCACATAAGGGTGCTAAGCATTATGTCAGGAGCTTTAAAAATACTAACACAGTCCTCTTGACAGTGCTAGGAGGTAGTTCCCATGACTATCCCCATTTTGCTCCTGAGGCTTTTATGACACAGAGATGTTAAGCACCTGGCCCTACGTCACACAGCTCATAGTGGAAGAGTTGAGGTTCAAACCCAGGCCATCTGGCTCCAGAATCCCTGCTCTGTACCCTCTGCTGCCTCTTGTTTCTGGATGACAAAACTCGCACTTTTCTAAAAGGGCTTCAGAGAGCAGAAGGAAGCCAGAAGACCCCTGAGGGCACTGAGGCTTTTGGGGTCCTATAGACCAGCCCCTAACTGCCTATGGCACTCACCTGGTCTCCCTTCCAGGCCTAAATGAAACTGAGGGACAGCTGTGGAGACCTTCCTGGTTCAGGTCTCATGCTGAGTGCAGAGGTGGACTTTGGAGAGGCAGTTCAAGTGCACTGGTCATCCCATCCATGTGGGCTTGATGCCCATCTCTGCCCTTTCCTGCCATGTGACCTTGAGCAGACTACTTCACCTACCCATGCCTCAATTTCCCCATCTGCAATGTGGGGAATATGATTGTTCCTAATAACCTCATGAGATTGTTTTGAGGATTCTGGAAGCCATGTTTGTGGCATACTGGGCACTGAGCCTGCCACGCGGTGGTGGAGGTGCTTAGCTCCTAGGTCCTGCAGAGACTGGAAGTATCAAGTGATTCTAGAAAAGTTTTAGATATTACTTGGAGGTGTCTCAGAAGAAGCAGGAGACACATTTCCACTCAGTAGCTCAAAGACCATTTTATGTGTCTTTTGGAGTGACTCCCCTGGGGCCAGTACTCACCAAGTTTTGCCTGTTTGTGCCTGAATCTTCTCTCTCCCTTTTGCCTCCTGACCCTGCTCCAGCCTCATCCTTCCTGCCGGGACCATGGTCCAGCCTCCTCCCTGGGCTCCTGCCTTCAGTCTGTCCCCCATCCTGGCCCCAGGAGGATTCTTGAAACCAACCACATCCCTCTTCTACCCACATACCCTCTATGGCTCCCCACTGATACCAGAGAAAGTGTCAGCTCCTCAGCTAGTATTCAAGCCCCTTTAGACTCTGACTCCCACCCTACTCACATCTAGTCCTGCAGAATGACTTCCTGTTCCTATAACCAGGCTCTGACTTCCCACCTCCATGGCCTTTGCTGGAACTGTGTCCTCCACCCCAAATATACTTCTCAGGTGGATGAACTTTGACTCATTTGTCATACCCCATGTCCAGCTCGTACTCTTTGAGAAGCCATCTGGCTTTACTGGTGGTTCCAGAGGTAGTGGCCAGGTCCTGATGCCCCAGACAGTTGGCCAGGGCCAGTTCTGAAGTCCAATGTTGACCCTATGGGTCTAGCCTGCCACCTAGGGCCATAAGTTCTGGGTGAGGCCATGGTCTCCCAGGGCTGAACCCGACTGAGAAGGAGACACGGGAGCCAAAGAGAAGTCATCTGTTGGCTTGTTCACTCATTCATTTATTCTTTCGATTGGCAATTGCTGGGCCTTGCATTTGGCCAGGCACTGGGTTAGGCCCCTTAATATCTGAGCTCTCCCCTAATTCTCACAGCCTGTGGAATAGGGATGGATCTTCCCAATGTGATGGATTTGATCTTTGGAGCTCGGAGAGGTTGAGTGACTTGCCCAAGGTCACCTAGTTGCTGAGAGCAGATTTGAGCTCAGATCCTTCTCACAATGGCCTGAAGTACTTCTGCCTTGTGTTTTTGTTAAGAGCAGACATTTTGGAGCTGGGTGGCTCGAATCCTGGCTTTGTGGCAGATGATGCCAGTGCCTGCCTGTATCCTTCTGGCCCATTTCTGGATGTGATGACCTGACCTCCAGTTGCCAGCCCCTGCATTCTAGGGCTTTCTCTAGCACTGTGCAGGGTGAGCTTGAGAGTTAATGCCCCAGGAGTGACCCATAGCCACATGACTATGAGATTGTAGGATTTGGTGTATAAACACCCCAGCTCATCCTCTGGTGGATTGACTCTGAGATTTGTGTCCCCCTCAAAATCCTCAGGAAGACTGAGCCTTGAGTTGCCCATGGCCATGACTCCCTTAGCAACTCCCCTTTTACTGGCTGCCTTCCCTCCCTGTCTCACATTCCCTAGTCCCGTACCCATGTTTTTGGGGATCACCCTCTACACGAACTACTTGCCCTAGAACCCTTGTCTCAAGATCTGCTTCTGGGGAAGCCCAAATTAAGACCATCACTTACTCACCTGTAACTTCAGACAAATCCTTTGACCTTTCTAAGAAAAATGGGGAAAATAGTAGGAACTATGTCATCAATACTTGTGTGGGTTGAAGGTATATAAAAAATGTCCATAGCAGCACCTAACACCGTGAGCCCATATATGTGTGAAAGATAACAATACCAGTACCATTTTATTCCTAACAGAGCACGTACTCAATAAATGCCAGTCATTATTATCGTGCTCACTGTTACTGTTTTTATTTCTTGAACACCAGCCATGTGTCTTGTGCCGGGGCTCTCTCATTTTGTTAATTCATGAATTTTCTCAGCTGCCCTCAGCCAGAGTTGATTTACACGCCCCCCCCCGCCCCCGCCCAGCTCCACTTCTCAGATGAGGGAGTAGAGGTTCAGCCAGATGCCGCCTTCATACAGCCAATCATCCAGCTAGCTGGTTGGGGGAAGCTGGGGCTGGGCTCTTCCTCACTATCTTTCCCTATCCCCCCCACCTCCCCCAGTATCTTCCAAATGAGACGGGACTCCAAGATGAGAAGAAGGTTCTGGACAACATGCACCACGTGATCCTGGTGTGGATTGGACCCGTCCTGCCACTGTTGGTTCTGGTGCACCCTGACTATATCAAGCCCCTAGTGGGCGCCTCAGGTAGGTGTGCTGGGACTTTGAGTGATGGGTAACCCCTTAACTCCCAGAGCTCGCCTGGGCTTCTAGGCACACAGGTGATCCAGGGGAAGAGCCTTTTGAGTAGGGATTTGAAGGGTGAATAGGAGTTCACCAAAGCAGCCATGGTAATACAGATAGTGGGAATAGCCTGGGAAAAGGTGGACCATATCTAAGAGTCCTAGGAAATTTGAGAGGATGTCTACCCACCTGGAAGTCAGTGCCAAACACATTCCGATAGATAATTGTTTGCCTAGGATTTTGTTAAGTGGTTGCTGCTTAGTTCTAAGCCATGGCAGCGCATCATTTAGGTTCTCATGTTCCCACTGTAGCTCTCCTGGCTTCACTTGGGCTGCCCCTGATTGGTGGAAAAGGAGATGTAAAAAGATTGCTTCTTTCTTGTCTGTCCACATCTACCCCAAGGTATAGGACTCCCAGATGTGCTGTCAAGCACTTGTTCAACCTTCAACATCCAGATCCCATGACCTCTTCTCCAGGAAGACCTCTGAGATCCTCCAGACAGATCATAGGTTTTTCCTCAGGGCTTTTCCATGGTCAGCCCTAAACCTCTAGGGCTGAGCGTGTCTGCATCCAGCCCTGTCTGCCTCATGGGAGTCTGGATCTGTAGCATGGCCTCGCATGGAATTGGGCACCTCCAGAGGCA